TATTATATATATGTCCCTACAGCACAACGTCCTGCCGTTAGGAGAGGGAGCCCAGGAGACGAAAGTCCAGATGATCAGAGAGATCCATCGGCATAAGAGCAAAGGAGGAAGAAAGGAGAGACAGGAGGAAGAAAGGAGAGAAAGGAGGGAGAGAGGAGAGAAAGGAGGACGAAGAGGGGACAAGGGAGGAAGAAATGACAGAAAAGAGCTAGAAAGGAGAGAAAGGAGGAAAGCTGCATGCGCAGTCTTAATGTCTTGCTAGCAACAGCTGCAGCAACAGCAGCTGCTGCTGTTATTTACCTTCTCCTCTGTATAAGAGGAGAAGGTAAATAAATAATTAAATAAATAAACATGAATAATAAAAGAAGAGGGAAAAAAAACAAAAAAAAAGATAAAGAATCGTCATTGTATGCATGCATGCATAGGTGCATGAGGGAAGACAGCAGATAGAGGGAGTTTTCTTGATATAATATTCATTGCATGCATGCATGCATGCATGCGCGTGCATGCATGCATGCATGCACGCACGTTATTATTCATGCTTATATGCGTGCACATACGCATGCATGAGTACATGCATGCATGCATGCATGCATGTTATTATTCCTTATGTTTATTGCTGCTGCTGTTTGTATAAGAAGCAGACAAACAATAAAAAGAAGAAAAAACTTCCTTGTTGTTGCATACTGTATTAAGTATGTTTTTATTATTATTAATTATTAATTAATAATAATTATTATTAATTATTAATTAATAATAATTATTATTAATTAATAATAATAATAATAATTATTATTATTATTATTATTATTATCCTTTGTTCTTTGTACTTAAATATACAATAAAAGACTCCCTATATGATTACAATAAATAAATAAATAAATAAATAAATAAAATAAATAAATAAATAAATAAATAAATAAATAAATTAAATAAATTGTGTTTGCAAGGAAAGAAAGGGAGAAAGAAAAGATCTTTTTTTGCATGCATGCATCCCACTGTGCAACAAACTTGCACAGGCACTGAGCTGCTGCTGCTGCTACTGCTACTGCTGCTGCTGCTGCTGCAGCAGCAACAGCAGCAGCAGATGACCAATTTGTTGTCTCCCTAATATACACCGCAAAAAGAACAAACAAATTCTTTTCTTTGTTACTAAGGAAGATATGGCGGTTTATTCCTTTATGTATATATATTTATATATGTATATAAGTACATATACATAATAAATATAATATATATAATATATATATTATATATAATATATATATTGTATATATACTATTTATATTATATATGTATTATTTATATTATACATAAACATTTAAACACTGTAAAGAAGTGCAAGGAGATAATGTATGAAAAACCCTAAACCCTAAACCCTAAACCCTAAACCCTAAACCCTAAACACTAAACACTAAACCCTAGATAAGTAACTTCTTATTAAGGGTTATTAAGGGATATATATAATATGTATACTAAATATATATATACCCTGCTTGTGTCTGTCTGTCTCCTCCTCTTGTTACCCCTTTGTCTCTTCTTTTCTTCGCCCTCCTGCTTATTGCATGCACTGTCTCCTTCTCTCCTCGTTCCTGTCTCCTTCCTGTCTCCTTCTGTCTCTGCCTCTCTCCCTCTCTGTCTCCTTACTAGTTACTAGCTGTCTCCTTGTGTCCCTGTCCCTGTCTTTGTCTGTTAGCTATCTACTAGGTGTCCCCTTCTGTCTTTGTTCCCTTATTATTTATTAACTGTCTCCTTTTCTTTATCTGTCTCCTTATTAACTAATAACTGTCTCCTTTTGTGTCTCCTTTCTTGTTACTAGGGGATCGTCTCTTTCCCTTCTCCCTTTGTTGCGGTGTATCTACAACAGCAGCTAACTAGCTGTCTGTTTATTAATATAATAAAATAAATAAATAAATAAATAAATAAAAATAATAAATAAATAAATAAATAATAAATCATATACATACACCGCATGCATTGAGGTGTATATGCATCCACCTTCCTGCATGCAACAAGGAAGAAGACACAAGAGGAGAGGATTATTGTTTTTCTTTCTTTTTTTCCCCTATAAATAAGTATATTTTTATTAATTAATTAATTATTTTTAATTTAATACTCAATTTGTATATTTATACGGCTTTTTACCCCTTACATACTGCTACTTTTGCTGCTGCTGCTGCTGCTGCTGCTGCTGTTGTCGCTGCTGCTCTCTTGTGCTCGCGCTATCCAAGGTTATACTTTTTATTTCTTTTTTCTTTATTTTCCTCCTTTCTACATTTTTAGGTGTCTGTACACCTCATTAGCTGCTGCTCTTGCTGCTGCTGCTGCTGCTGCTGCTGTTTCTGCATTGAAACGGGCCTCAACACCGCCACACAGTGACACACACTGGCTGCTCTTGCTGCAGCTGTGCTGTAGTAACAGCAGCAGCAGCAGCAGCTGCTGCTGCTGCAGCTGCAGCTGTTGCTTCTCCCCTTGAGGTCTACGGGTGTTTCCATTGCCTTCTGTCTGTACAGCGCCGCCACTGAGCCGCAGCCCGACTCACCAACGAGCAGCAGCCACATAAGTTGCTGCAGCTGCAGCAGCTGCAGCAGCTGCAGCAGCTGCAGCAGCAGCAGCAGAAACTGCAACAGCAACAACATCTGCTGCAGCTGCAACATCAGCAGCTGCAACAGTAGCTACTACATGCGGGCTGGGCAGCCCTGTTGCCTCGTTAACCTCGTGCTGCAGCTGCTCCCCGCCAGCAGACAACAGCCGCCGCTGCAAGAGCAGGAGCAGCAACAGCAACAGCAGCAGCAGCAGCAGCAGCAACAGCAACAGCAGCAAGAATTGTAACAGCATAACGGTGTCTGTCTGACAATGGAGAAGCGAGAATCAGCTTCGGAGTCTCCTGCTGCAGAAGAGCCGTCAGCAGCAGCAACAGCAACAGCAGCAGCAGCAACAACAACAGCAGCAGGAGGAGCAGGAGCAGCAGCAGCAGGAGCTGCAGCTGGCGAGGAATGGGCAGATTTATTTCTTCTTCCTCCTCTTAACTTGGAGGATGTGCTGCAGCAGCAGCAGCTAAATTTTGAGTCCCTAGACTACACCAGCAGCAGCAGCATCAGCAGCAGCAGCAGCAGCAAGGAGAATAAGGTGTATATACTCGTCAATCTTGAGTTAGATCGTCCCCGTCAAGGGTTTATGCTGCAGCAGCAAGATGGGTCTCCTTCTCCTGTTTCTGAATCTCCAACAGGACAGCAGCAGCTGCTGCTGCAGCAGCAGCTGCAGCAGCAGCAGCAGCAGCAAGATGAAGGAAAAGAGCCTCCCCGTGGCTGTTTATATAAGCTAGAGGATCTGTATGTTTGTGAGCCCTGCAAGAAAGTTCTATCGCCCCTCCAGGTAGGGTTTAGGGTTTAGGGTTTAGGGTTTACAACGGTTTAGGGTTTACGAGGGTTTAGGGTTTAGGGTTTAGGGAGTTCGATTTGTAGCCTTTCCTTAAGCCCTTAACTTTAATAATATAGGGTTTAGGGTTTACTATTATTTACTAGGGTGTACTAGGATTTACTAGGGTTTATTAGGGTTTATTATGGTTTATTAGGGTTTATTAGGGTTTAGGGTTTAGGGTTTAGGGTGTGCGTTTCTTAGGTGATAGAGGAGGTAGAGTGTTATGTATGCCCTGGTTGTTTAGAGCTGCTGCCTCCTGCTGGTGGGGCTGCATGCGGCTTCCGCTGCAGCAAATGTTTTATTTGTCCTCGTTGCTCTAATGGTCTCTCTTTATCAAGAAAAAGGAAAGAGGATCTACTTAAGGGATCGGGATCGGGATCGGGAGACGATCCCACAACGGGATCGGGATCGGGTGACGATACCACTACGGGATCGGGATCGGGAGACGATCCCAAGGAGGCGTTGCCGTTTATGTATAATGATGATCGTGATGAGGACATAGCAGCAGTTGTTGCTCGTCATGCAGCAGCAGCAGCAGAAGCAGAGGAAGCAGCAGCAGCAGCAGCAGCATCGAATTATGAGTCTATATTGGATCCTATAGCAGCAGCAAAAAGAGCAGAAGCAGCAGCAGAAGCAGCAGCAGCAGCAGCACGTAAGGCCGTTATAGCTGTATGCCAAGGAGACAATCAGGAGATGCAGAGACACCTCATGGAGACAGGCGGATTTGCTGTCCGTGGGGCCCCACAGCGTTGCGACAGTTTGCTGTCTGTAGCTAGTCTTGATGGTGGTGTAGAGGAGGAGACAGCAGCAGCAGCAGCAGCAGCTGCTGCTGCTGCAGCTGCTGGTGGTGATGGTGCAAACAGTGATGATGATAGTGATGATGCAGGTGCAGCACAAAGAGAAGCTGCAGCAGCAGCAGCAGCAGCAGCAGCATCAGCAGCAGCAGCAGGATCGTGCTGCAGCGGCAAACATATATATTATTATTGCTGCAGCTACTGCAGCTGGAGCTCAGAGACAGCAGGTGTCTCCTCTTTTCTTCCTGCTGCTCTTCCTGTCTATGCTGCACAAGGAGACAGACCTACTGTCTCTGAATATATATTTAATGAATTATTATCTTTGCTGCAGCAGAATGCATGCGATAGGGAGAGGAGGAGACAGCTGCAGCAAACAGTTAAGAGTAGGGCTGTTGCTGCTCTTATTGCTGCAGCAGCAAATGCAGAGCCTCGTGGTAGTAGTGCTGCTGCTGCTGCTGCAGCAGCAGCAAGACGTTTATCCCCATTAGCCGGACTAACATCAACAACAGGAGCAGCAGCAGCAGCAGGGGAACATTGGGGACTAAAGGAAGCAGAAGCAGCAGCAGCAGCAAAAGAGAGACACATAAAGACACTAGATATATGGGCATATAGGCGTCCCTCTTCTTGGCTATTTGCTGCACCTAAGGTGTCTCTTGCTGCTGTCTCCTCAGGGCAGCACTTATGCTGCAGCATAAAGGACACATTAGCAGCAGCAGCAGCAACAGCAAATACAAGAAGAAAAGAAGAAGCTGCAGCAACAGCAGCAGCAGCGGGAGCAACACATCA